ACTTTGCAGAAGTTAGTTTCTTATACCTACTAATAAATGTGCCGAGTTTGAAAAGAATCGGTGACCTAGTGGCAAAAAGTGTGCGATTTGACGTGAATGGGTTATACCGGGTAAACAATAAGTATGTATTATCATCATTAATATATCCGGAACCATGAGAGTAAGAGAAAAATTTTTCGAATGAATATTGTTTGCTATGAAAGTGGCCATCGTATGACCATAATAGTTCTTTTAAATATATTGAATTATATATGGTACAGCGGGTCATAATTAGTTCGAATAATCAAGGTTCACCATACATGCACTACAGGCCAAAAGTTTGGAATCACCTCCCACTTTTCATCAATATTAAATCTGCTGCTAATTTTTTATAGATTTGAAGTTTATCTCATACCAATTGATTCGTATGATAAAAAATTCTCAAAGTCGCTGACTTTTTTCTGGAAATTTTTGTGCAAATTGCAGTGCTCAGTGATTCCAAACTTTTGGCCGGTAGTGTACATATTATGTATATTATTGTGCTTAAATGCCCCAGCAAATGTTCGTTTCATAATCGACCTTCTACGACCTTGACTAACCTTCTATTACAGATACTTGTATTCGTGTTAAAGCTGGGATGAAATTTTCAGCATGTGTATAATTGATATAAATCTACAAAACGTATTCTTTAAATTTTTATTACTGGCTCAGATAAAAAAGTTGTGAACAGTGACCTTTAAAATTTCGCAAATTGTAATTTTTTCAAAATTTTGTGTACATGTCATCTATATTGTAGGTATACTAATTTTTCTAATTTCTCAAAAAAGCTCAATCCGTTTGGTTCAATTTTAAGAAAGTTACACTGTTCTAAAGAGTGTCCGAATATAAGTGAGAGTAACTGTACCTTCGCATCTTTGATGTGAGTTCGCACATACAAAAATCAATATGACCATACGATAATCCCTTTTATATCAAAAAACTTTCATTGGAAAAATTTTTCTCTTACTTTTATAGTTCCGAACATATTGAAGGTGGTAATTCTTATTGATCCACCCGGTACACAGTAATTACTAGATCAAGTTTAACCGTTTCTGGTTCTATATAGTACTGTTTCGTTTCAACTGGTCTTGTTTATGCTATATTCGACATAGGATTTTCAATTACTGCTTTCTTTATTTTCTCGTAATACTCTAGTTGGATACAAATGGCTGATTATTATTTCGTCGATATCATTAAATCAAATTGGATTTACGATCGATTTCACGTTAAGAGGTACCTATTAACATGGCCGAGAAAACTATTTTTTAGGATTTTGAAGTTTCAACAATAAATTCACATTATGTGCTTCTCGATGAAGCATGTAAGAAATTAATTACACTGGTCAACATGATTTTTGTCATAAAAAATATTTACACTGATTTTTATGTATTTTTCGATGTTGAATTCGAATCTGCGATCAGATTTTTTCCATCACCCATAGATTTAATAATAACTAAATTCACAGTTATTTTATCAATAATATAGTATAAATATATAGGATGAATTTAATTTGTGCTTAGTGTATTCAGAGGAATGAAATTCTAAGAGTAAAGAATTTTATTATACATATATAAGGCAAATAATAATTTTATTACATGAAAATCTGAGTGCTAATTTCATCAGGACATTTCGTGCATGGAAAAGCGATACCAGTACAGTAAAAGTTCTATAAGAGTTCCAAACTTGGGACCGCTGTGTAACAGCTACGAAAAAGGTGATAGGTTTCTCAAACTCTTTGTATTTTACCGACACCGACGGACGCAGAAAGAGACAGCAGAAAAAGAAGAGAGAGGTATTGAAAGTCGAGCCAGTCCTAAAATATCAAACACCTACATGTCGGTGAGACAGCCCTAATACAAAAGAAAAACTTTTTTATTCTTTGTGTTTTGCTGATAAAAATTTTACT